AATTTTCCTTTTTTAAAGTAGAATATCTAGATACGTATAAATTCTATGCGCTGTTGCCAATATGTGAACTAGAAACAAAATTAAATCCCAACATTTGAAACACTTTGAATACTTTTTGAAGTGAATTTGAAAAACTCATGAATTAAACTCAACTTTATTTTGTTCAAACGTGCATTTGCTGTAATAACCCAAATTGAGGAACATTCCCCATTATATTGGAATTTGCCAGATACGCAACAAGGCAGAAAAATTTTCAAAAAAAGTACAAAAGAAATGATCTGGCATAGTTATTATTTCAAACGATCAACAAAAAGAGCGGGAAATACATAAAAATTCATTTTTTAATTGGGCAAGACATTCACAGAGATACTGTAGTCATCAAATACTTTTATGACCCAATGACCCAATAAAGGAGGCAAAGTAGCATAAACACCAAAAACAATAATCGGGGCTAAAACTTTACCAAATGCAGTTAGTGTTCCCTCCACTCAGAACAAAAACAATATATCTATAAGTTTTCCATACAGGAAATAAAGAAAGGTTCAAATCAACCATTCTTTTGTGGAAAACTGCGAATGAAAACCAAATAGAGAAGGGTAATTCAAAAACCATCAATTAAAATGAGGTCAGTTCTCAACCTTATACATTAAGGAATCAAAGACATTGGTTTTAAATAATAGATGTTTGAGTGAAAGGGAAAGACATCAAAATGTGAGTAAAATGATTAAAGAAAGCTGGTCCATGATGAACATAGTTTCAACTAGCAATAATTCAAACCCATCAATTTACATTACATAATGTATATGTGAAAAAAGCTTGTAGCGAGATTCACCTGGGAAAACAAAAAAGCAACATGTAAACATTCAAAAATTTGCCTTTATATATTGGTCCAATAAGGGAGTTATATCAAAAGTGATCCCTTAAATTTCTGACCATACCTCCTATTCCAACCTAGCTAAAATAATAGAAAAGTTGGTACAAAAAAGAATGGTTCAATTTTTAGTGGCAAATAATAATAATTGGCATTAGGAAAACAGGTTTAACAATTTGTAGTGTTTAACGTCTTGTTGGTCATTCAATAGGGACTTTGAATGTTTACTATTATTGATTTACAGAGGCTAGCAGGTTCAATTTAAGTCCTTTATTATCTGTATGGAGTATGTCCTGATTGTTCTCCAATATAAAACAGATCAGAATATTCATTCCTTTTATAACATGGTCTATAAAGAGCAGCAAATTAAAGATTTGATTTCTTCATTTCTGCATCTCCAAGTCTCGTAAGCATTTGAATTTGGATTGGTTATGTGGTTTTTTCTCTGATGGTGCAATCAAGTCTGATGAATTTCCATCTATACATATTCTGATCATTCAAACACTGAATTATTATATAATATATTGTTTTCTATGCGTTTTTTGTTACTGATATTCATTTACTTGTATTGTAATTGTATTGAGTGAAATGGTTTTTGAACCCGAGAATAAATAAATAAGGTTATTGTTAACAATTTCCAAATGATGATTTTATTTATATTCCAATTGATCCGTATGATCTTCCATGAATGATGAGCAATAACTGAAATTGAAAATATTTAAAACACAATGTAAATAAGTTTTTAATGATATTCATTCGGTTTTAATTTTCAGGGGAATTTGTGGCTCACTTCAAGTTTACAGTATTGCTTATGCCAAATGGCCCTCACAAGATAACTGGTTTGCCTTTTGATCCTGATCTATGTCATTCAGAGTATTCGGTGACTAGTCCCGAACTCAAGTCAATTCTGAATAGTTCAGCAAATCCTAAATCTGCTAAGAAGAAAAAAAAGAAGTCTGAAAGCTCATCTGATCCTCAGCCCATGGAAGTTGAAGCAGCGGCATAGAGAAGGAATATCTTAACTTTTTATAAAAGCTTGAACACTACTTGGGTTTTCACATTTTTGGATATGTTGAAAGTTGGCAAAAAAATATTTTTTTCAGACAATCACTCGAAGCATTGAATCTTCAATGAGATTGATTTTATTCACAAGTACTTTTGAATTTTCTATTGCAAAAAAGTTAGCAGGAAAAATCTTACCTTTATATTCGTTTTCAATCATAGAACTTTATGTCAGAACTTTATACAATAAATGAAGGTAATTAAAATGTACTGAAAATTGTTTCTTACTAAGTAAAAGAACATATTTTTTGTATATCTATAATTTGTTTATTTCACAACGGATTAGATAAAAGATAGACTAATCATATTTTTTAAACAAGTGGTAAGTAAAAGTTATAATTTCACATGAAATAATTAGATGTTGAAACTTTCATTTTGTTTTCTTCAACCAAAATCAAATACATTCTTGAAAAAATATGAGAGAACAATGTAGTTGAGAGTAATAGACAAAAAAAGACATTTCAAAGTGTTGAATGCTATTTATAAAACTATTATTGAACTGCCTCTCAGTAGAAAACAAGTATGCCCAGGGGGGCCACACTGATTTATTGATTGTGTTTGCATTTCTCACTCTGATTATATACATAAAATTTGCCAGGCACTATATGAAATAATTTGAAACTAAATAAGAAACTTTTAATCAAAAGTGTTTAGGGAAAGAAGGAATTTTCACAATCAAATTCCGAATATATAATTTCTTTGAACCATTTTTTTCGATAGCAGAAAATCGCCGGTAACTTTTATGCCTCTCACCAATAAACTAAACAGCTGAAACTGTAAACATATATATGTAGCCCGCGAAATTTTAAGATTCACCTTATTTTTTGTAGCTCACAAATGGAAAATATTGTCTGAGTGCGATTTTCAGTTTCAATTGTTCTGATTATGCAAAAAAAAGGGACACGATAAAAAGCTTGTAGCGAGATTCATCTGGGAAAACAAAAAACAATATCCAATTTGGATAACGCCTTGATCTTCTGTATCTTCAAATGATACAGAAATACTCCATAAAACTCAAAATTCTATCCAAGAATATATAGAGGCAATGCAGAGATTATATCAGTAGAAAGGAAGAAACAATGTACATTAACAAAATCTGGCTGTCTGAATTGAATCAAACCCATCAATTTACATTACATAATGTATATGTGAAAAAAAGCTTGTAGCGAGATTCACCTGGGAAAACAAAAAAGCAACATGTAACTTGGATAACGCCTTCATCTTCTGTATGATACAGAAATACTCTGTAAAACTAAAATTATTTCCAAGAATATATAGAGGCAATGCAGGGATTATATCAATAGAGAGGAAGAGGCAATGGACATTAACAAAATTTGGCTCTGTCAATTGTACACAAATAAGGTCAGGTAATCAAATTAAGAGAAATGAATCCACGCCCACCTATGATAATATAAAACCAGAGACAAATTCCAGCACCCAGAAAATAGCGACACAATATTTGTAAACAAAATCTGAAAATTTTTATAATCCTTCGCCCTGCTATAATCTATGCAACTCTCTTATTTCATATTGAGCAAATAATACCAGAGACATAGGTGGGAATCCTGATTGTTACTTCAGTGAGAGTGGTGCATTCCCTCGGTGAATAAAATATGAATATTCCTGTGAATAGAACTAAAAATGAAAGGAATGAAATGTGAACTCTCTCCCGACAAAAAAATTGGGTTAGTATATGTAATTAGAACTGGCATAACCCTTGTAGCTCCAGCCCTTCCCCCTCTGGGGAAACGCTATCTATATGTGTTGGTTACTCTTATACTGGGTATTACAAATTAATCAAATATCTATCGTATGATTGTGCAATCACTACTGCTGGGAACAAAATAGCAAGGTAGGTAATTCCCAAAGATCATTAATTTGGATGTACAGGTAAAATGAAAATTATTCATTTATTTGGAAAATACAGCCATCATTCAATTAAAACATTTATTATTGTTATCAAAAAGTTTAAGGGCAATTACATTCAAGAAACAACTACTGTTACAAATCCTAAAATTGTTTTTAAAAATGAATCTTTTTCAAATCTAGTACATTACTGTTTGAGTTAATAAAAAACGAAATTTGAAACAATGCAAAATAAAAGAAAGTACAGATAATATATGCCACTTTAATTGAATCTTCAATATTCACATGAACATTGGTAATAATTGTTGCTAGAAACCTTCATTATAAAAATGGTATCTGCTAAAAACCATGTATATCATTTGAACAGTCAGTGCAAATACTCAAGTGCACATATCTGTTTTAGTTTGAAATATAATTATTATCACTCTCAATACACACATAAAGAAATAAAATCGGAAGTAGGAGAAAATTCCTCGTAATAGTGGACAATGAATCATCTGACAGGCATCTATGCAAGACACACCTCGGAGGATAGTCTTGCAGACGCTTCTCGTTAATCCAACAGTAGGACTGTCTGAGTATTTTCACAACTAAAAATCTGCTGAGATCGCTGATTATCGATCTGAGGTAAGATTGATATCATGACTCATAGTAGATCATGATTCTCCCAAGGGCTTCCAAAAATGGGTCAATTTTTTAATATGCCTGAAAAACGGTTTCAACTTCTATCTGGGTGTTTTTGATAGCACTGGTAATGAATCTGAGGTCAGATTATCGATATGGTGACCAATAGTAGGTTTTTTATAAACTGTGTTCTGAAAATCTCACAATAAAGTGTTTCTTGAATAAGTTGTTTTCCGGTTGGAATTTGCTAAATTCCAAGGTGTAGAAACGTTGGGAGAGGTGAATATATCGAATTCTTTTTGAAATATGTATTTTTTCTGATAAATATATCTCTTCTACACAGTAATCAGACCGATTTTTATTTTGATTAATTTTGCTTGGGGTTTTAATGATGAAATGCCCTTCTATAAAAACAGTATGATTCTTGGTATTGATAAACATAATTATAGTTAACAGACATTTCCTACACTGGATCTGTTGTGAACTGTAGAGGGGTAACACCTCTAAAACCAGTCTCTAGGTGATCACTCGATTGATTTCAGTGATATCCTAGTGCTGGAAAAACAAGAAGCATTTCCTCTGTGAGGTATCTTTCTCAAATGTCTCTCAAGATATTGGTCGAACCAAACATTCTAAAGTTTCAATACAAACAAAGTAGAGTGATATGTCTTATAACTGTTAACACTTCAGAGGATCGTAGGACAGGTACAAATTTTTCACTTGTGCACAAGAATGTCATGATGAATTGGTCACCATTATATTCTTCATGTACAGACCTGTGAAACGAAATTGAAAAAGGAGTTAGTGATATATTGCATGAAGCTTTCAATTGCAACCTCTCCTGTGAATTTCATTTGTATAAGATTCATGTCTTCGTTTTGACAAAAAAATTATAAGTGTTTTGATCTAGTAATGAATTGTCAAGGAATTTTCATGAAAAATTCGAAAAAACTATTAATACCCATTTCATTAAGGAAGTGAGTGCCAATTCAGGTTTGTCACCTCATATGTTTTCAAATGGTTTGAGTATTTTTGAGATGAGCAAAAAACATTGCATAGCAAGGTTGCTCTTCAAAAACGGATAAAACTATAAAAAAACCTGTTCTAAATGAAATTTTTTTCATCAGTAACAACTCCAAAAAACAAAAATCTCTCTTGCCTTCATGCACGGAAATTCTTAGAATATTTGAGCATAGCTGAGATGGATCTCTCTAAATCTGATATTAATTATACTGTCTTCATTATCCCAAGAAACATTAGATGTTTATAAATAAGGATTAACTGAATTAACTTTTTTATTCAATCCTATCCTGTAAGAATGTCAAAAACTAAAAAAAATTCGATCAACACAAACAACGATTAACAAAGTGTTAACAATATATTATTTTTATATTAACCTAATAACAATATTTAATGTTTGTCAAAGTAAACATTGCCAGCTTCTCAATATTTTTCTGATGGAATCGAACATAAAAAATAATATTGTTTTTGTTTTAGAAACAATATTGACATCCACTCTAAAAACTGCATAAGTTGAAGGTAAACATTGAAAAATTATGATTTGATACTCTCACTTGAAAGACATTCTGATCAGTCAAGACAAAACTGCCTTCATATTTTCTTGATAAAAAGTTCCTATCACTACAAAAAAACAGAGCATTAGGAATCATGAAAAAATACTTCTATTTGCTCAACTTTATCTTGGAAAAATACATTAAAAAAATGTTACCAGTATCTACACAAAACACTGACTAATAAGGCAGCAATAGCCTGTTTTTTTTAAGAATATATTCAATTTACATACACAGCAAGTTTCCATTTTGGTTGGTCCATATTATAAAAATTTATCTCAAAAATTCATACACCTCTCACTGAGTATTCAATTATCAAAGCAGTTGAGTTCCGCTAAACTATTTGACCAACAAAAAACCATGTACGTTGGCAATAAACCTATCAAAATTGTCTCTGAATTTTAGCTTTGGAAGTCGATCGCAAGTCATGTCTATGTTATTAACCAAATTATTAAATGCTGCTGCTAATCTTTCTCCTATCATTGGATCAGTTTGCATTTGTATTAAACTCTGTACAAGCAATTTATAGTCTTCTTGATAGCAGCATATTAATACGTAAAGCGCTGTACTAGCGTAGATCATTGAATCTGAATTTATTTGATGAGTCAACGTTAAGTCCATCAGTAATTTCAAAAATGGTCTCAATGCTTGGTAGAAAGGTGTATTCAACATATTATGTTTGAAAATATAAGTTGCCATTCCTTGAATAAAATCTAAGCATGCCTGAACAATATCAGGACCAAAGTTTGTTAATCCCAATTCTATCGACTTCAGTAATGTTTGCAACAAATCTGATGGCAGGTTACAAATTTTTTCTGGGTAGATATCGTTGATCAAAACTAAAAGTCTATAATACTGAGCACATAAACTAGGGTATTTCAACAAGTCCAATGTCATCAAGGGCATAATGAAATTAAGTCCAAAAAGTGAAACGTCTGATGCTGTTATATTGGTCTCTGTATGGTTAGTTTCGGTGCAGAGATCTATACAATCTTTGGAGAGAATGAAAGTAAGGAGATCCAGAACAAGAGCCAAATCCTGACAGCTACTTTCTTCTGCAAACTTTTCGGCAGTGAAACGTCCCGCGTTACATTTTGCATAAGCCTGCACTGTTGCTAAAGCGCTCTCATAGAGACGTTGACTGTCCAAAGGGGATAGATAACACAACATATATTTAGCACACTGACCAAACAGTTCCAAAATGAGATGTACTATGACCTGATAGCTGCTGTAAATTGTCAGAAGGATGTGTAGTTCACTGAGGATGGGAGCTAAGAATTGAAATAATGATATTGTACTTGGCATCAGAGAGCCCTTTGCTACACCTATAAGACACTCTAGCAAATCAATTACTGTTTTCTGTACTCTTTCTTGTCCGCTTATTCTGGTGAAATCTCCGTGTTCCAATAGGTTTTTGAATTTTTGCTGAATAGGAGTCAAAATCATTTCCAAATATCTGTTCATTGTATGAAGACTATCCGGGTCCCTTGCACTTTGTAGGGCTGCTCCAGCCAAAACAAATCCCTTACAAAGACCTCGAAGAATGTTCGGAGGAAGACAACCAGGTTCTAACTCTTGGAAAAGGTTTATCAGATTTCTCATACTTGCAGTATCAACAAGGGGATTGGACCTGAAATGAAAATGTTTCATTCTTCACATAATTTGAACATGACTTTTAGTGAAACTAATTCCAACCAAAATATTCAATTTTTTATTTTTTCAAAGGCAATAAATACCATATAGAATAATTTCACTAGGAAAAAATATATTAGATTCACAAAAATTAATTTATTATCTTTTTATTTTTTCTCTCTTGTCCAAACATAAGGTAAGGAGGGCCATCATGGAAAAATAGGAAGAAGATTTATGAAGTTGATTAAATTAGGGGAAAGTTATAATTGGTGATGCTTTCTCGAGAAGAAACATCGAAATGAAAATGTGTAAACGCCATCCTGTACAGATTAAAAGTGGCAATGAGAAAGTAGTTTTTGTTTTACTCTATACCGGATGCCAGGACACTCAAGTATTACAGGTAATGAAAAAGTTGATGACTGTACCAGATGCGGATAATCAACTGCATATATAAGCCCTGAACCAGCTGTTGGGGTACCAAAAACTTTGGTATGGAATCGGATTGGCGAGTGGGTCTATAGGAAACAAAGAGTACTAGGAAAATAACCCGGAAACAACATGGATTTTTTTTTTTTATAAAGAGACTATTCAAGAAGGAAACTGCTTCAACAAAGCAAGGATTGGTTCCGAACAATTATAGAACTTTTCACTAGATATTGTCTATTGTGAGGACATCAGAACAAAATAGAGCTATACAAAGCAGATATTAGCTGAAGGCAATGCAACAAAAGGACAGAGATATCTTCTCATATTTTGTGCGAATATGAATCACTTGTTCACTGGAGGCATACAGTTTAATGTACAACGCAAATTATGTCCAGAATGATGCAAAAGTAGTATTATTTATTTTGGTGCCCCTAATGTACAAATGTTCTTTAAAAGTATAATACATAATATTATTTTGAAGTTATCTTAAAAAAATCAATAGAAAAACATAATATACAGTAGATCTCACTAATCTGGCACTTCAATAGATCGATACGCCCAATAATCCTGCACCCTCCGCCCGCGCCTCTCTTGCCCCTCTACCTTCATGCGCCCTGTCGCATGTCGTCGCAGTCGTCGTCTAACAGTCAAAACTTAAAACGTATCACATGCACGTATGCATGTATTAACCTGTTGTTTTGAAGCGAGAATAGTGTAATTAAAATGTAATTGAAAATGTCAAATAAACGGTAACACAAGACACTATTTTATTTAATGTGAACTTTCTCTAAAATCTAGTAACTGGAACATTCCAATAATCCGGCACCCTCTGGTTTTTAATAGTGTCGGATTAGTGAGATTCTACTGTATTCATAAAAGTTGAAGTAGAAAAAATAATGATACATTATACAGGTACATGTACAATATACATGTCACAAAAAAAAATAAAACTTTATTATCTTTATTGATATGCTGAAATAACGCTCGTTTGAAAGTGTGAGTACTTGTGTTGTTTCTCAAAGAACGACTATTCATTGCTGACTTAGAGTTTGTCCTGGATACATGGAAGTTTATATTTGTTCTAGTGTGGACTTCACTGTTTACTTTGATCAAATTTGGCTGGAGATGGAGGATGATTTTATATAAGTAAAAAGAAGGAAAAACATATGATGGAAGCGGTGCTGGAGATAAAGATCTGCATGAGCGTGAAAATCCCGATAAAAAAATTTGACTTTTTATCTAGAGTTCCAGTGTGGACTTCACTGTTTACTTTGATCAAATTTGTTCAATGACACCTCACATCAATGACATCGAATAATATCCAGTAGAGTGTAGAACTTTGATTAATCAATACATTTCTTTTTCCGAATCAACATAAACAATGTTTCATTTTCAGTGGTGGTACTTATCATGAAAACGACTGCAAAATGAGTTGTAAGTGATTTCGAAATCGGTATCTTTTGGAAAAATGAAAATCCTCAGCTTCCAAAAAGTAAAACAGTTACATTACAGAGGTTGCAGTGTTTGAAAGAAAATGCATGAAAAACAAAAACTTTGGGAACAGCTATTGCGAAAAATTCAAAAGATATGTGAAGAAAGGGTTTATCACAAAATTATCACCAGAAGAAGCATCCATTGAGCCCCTCATACATGGTATTTTCCACATTTTGCCACCATTAATCCTAACAAATCAAATAAAATTAGACTGATTTTTGATGCAGCTGTGAAGTCACATAGTGTGAATCTCAATAATAACTTGTTGTCTGGCCCTGATTGATTGCAGATATTCAGACAAAAAAGAACATTTAAAGAGGACCCGTCTCCAAGTTGTGTAAACTTCCAGTGGAAGTTGAGATGGTAGGATGAAAATGTAGAAATGAGATTCTTCACTGGGGGGAAAATGTTTGTAATTGTTCAATTCAGGTATCTTCAAATTCTTTTGTATATAAGTTTCATTGGTTTGTCTTGTATTTTTTTACTCAGTATAACCATGGTATTTTGAAATAGAAACATTTATTGAAAAGAAAACGTACTCAATTGGGGTTTGTGAAAGCCTCAAAAATTAAAAAGAACTGACTTACGTTACACATTAAAATATGTTTGCACGCAATATGATAAACGTATTGACTTGAATGGAGGTTTGGCCACAAAAGTTAAAATTGTGTTTCAATTTCGTATCTTCTCCTTTCATATTATTTACAATAAATATGAATAAGAGATTGATTTTCGTATTATGATTTCATTTTGGTGATTATTATTCCTATTAAGATGTGCGGTCAGAAATTTGCTATTTTTTCATTAAGTGACACGTTTTTCAAACGTTCTTTACTTATTTACTTTTTCAATGATGAATAGAGTTTGATGAAATTCTGGACAGTGATAAACCCGTTGAATATGGTGGAGTTACCAGAATTTTGTAGAAAGTTATAAAAGTGAATTTGTGAGATAATTTAATACACTATTTCTCTTACAACTTCTATAAAAATGTTGTTAATATTTTTTTCAGATTTTCAACAATGAAATTCTGATTTGAATTGAAGGGGTTATATTTTTAGGAGTGATTAATTTTTTGGGAAAGAAAGTTTTTGGCTTTCTACTACTCCATCTGTACTCCACATAGAACACTGTCACACAGTGACAGTGTTCTATGTGAGTACAATTTATTACCATTCATTCAAAGTAGAACTCATGTGAATGATATCTGATTCTTATTCCACAACAAATGTTTGAAATACAAACTGAGTAGAGAAAAGTATCTTCTGTATAATTCAGTGTTCATATAGAAGTATTTGTTTCGAAAGAATTATTTTCTTTCGTGTAATTCAATGTTTATATGAAAGTAGTTGTTTCAGGAGAACTTTCTTTCAGTTTGTGACTGAAAGTTACTTCTTTGCATGATCTACACATTCATGTATATAGAGTTTCAAATTGATTACTTCCTTCCTTTCTTTGGAAAATTCTCTCATCCCTTTTTTTGTATCAGATGGAGTAGTAGAAAGCCAAAAACTTTCTTTCCCAAGAAATTCTGATCTGTTGGAAAATCTATTTTGTATGCTTGCTAGAATTTTAAATAGGCCACTGTATATGAGGCTTTATATGGTCACTAATTTAAAATAGTAAATAAGTCTAACTCACTTGTACTTGACACAGATATCGCAAAATAAATCAACAGTATCTCTCAACAGGATCGGTTCAGATTTAAAGTGATATATATTGGATCGTATCTTGGATAAAACGGAGCTTACAAGCAATTTAGCTCCTTCCGTATCTTTTCCCAAACAGCCAATTAAAGTTGGACTCAACTGAAAAATGAGAAGATTGCATTAGTTTCAAGGGACATAAATTATTTGGATAAAATTAAAATAAGGATTGGGAAAGGTATACATCCCTAATTTTGAAGAAAGTTTTGATTTCTAAACTCGACAGAAGTTCTTTCACAAAAACTCATATCTGTATACGCAAATCTAAAAATATAGATGTAGATCATTTTTTCAATGAGAGAGTATGAGTACCTGACCAGAGAGTGAAATTGAAGTTTAGTTAATCAAATGAAAAGTTATAATTCCTGATAATATTATATATTTTCTGCTCAGCCATATGCTTTCCTTAATTTGGCATAATTCTTTCTAACATTTTGTATTCTCCACATCATTGAATTATCTGTATCAACTGAAAAATCAGGTAAATAAAAAACTGATCTCCCACTAATCACCAATGTCCTTTCTAATCATAAATACACTTATTGAAACATAATATTGTTGTTAATTCAAAATCACACAACAAACACTATCCTTCAAATATATTTTATGACTATCCCACTTATTTCACTTGTTTACTCATCGCTTTCCTTGTTCTCAAACTACTTCAAGTTCTGAACTAATTTGAAGTAATTCAATCTTTCCAGTAGCTTGACTCTCTTGGGTATACCACATTCGAACGTTTTTGTATGTTTGCAATTGTATTACAGTATTTTTGAGTTCACTTCACAAAAACAATTCAAAGCTTACTCGCGTGCAGATGTAAACTTTGCTAAAGGTGTTAAAATATTCAAATAATTCGTAACGATTTTTTATATCTTCACGTCTACATAACCTTTTCGAAATTCCTAAATTCTTATCTCTATTTCGGTTCATCTGAAAGTTAATATAAAACCTTCATTTTTGCTTGTCCAAATCATAAAGTGCTTACGCTAGTGAGGATATATCCCATCTTAAATAGAGCAGCAGGTCAGTGAGTAGCTTCATAAGAGTCTGTAAATCCCCTAACTCGAGCCTATAATTGGCGCAGTCGAGAGTAGGATAGCGGAAGATGATCGAACCAGAAATTCTTCAGTTTCAACTGAAAAGTTCTTTGATCAGGTTTATTTGGTCTGAACACATTTCGATGTGGTCCATACCGAATATTTATTGGTTGATTCAGATATTGTGGTGTTTGATTGAATTGTTGATAATTAGGTTTATTTTAAGGAATTGAGACAGAAGGGATACGATTTCTATTTGGCCTCTACGGACAGAGGGTATGATAAACAGATATGTTGCCAAAAACCTGTCTGCAAGTGTGCCTGTTCTAATAATTGAAAACCGATTCGACAGTTGTATCGCAATAAGCATATTCAGGAATTTATTTTGTGAAGAATCCTGCCACTGACATATGTCAGATATAATCCAACGTCCTTCGTGGTATTAGCCAGGGGAGTAGTTGTTTTCTTGGACCAACAACACCCAAAGACATTGAAGACTATATTATGAAAACCACACGTAAAGAAGCTCGAGGCATAGATGGAATTTTCGGGAAAACTATAAAATATGTCAAAGAAATAATAAGTACACCATTGTCACATATTACAAATTAATTTTTCAAGGCAGAAATATACCCAGAAATGTTGAAAACATCAAAGTCAATCCCGATTTACAAAAATAAAGGATGCAGGAAGGACATAACGAGCTATCGAAATGTATGTCTTCAGACACATTTCGCAAAAATTTTCGATGCCTCATTCAATATTCAATTGAATTCATTTTTAGAAAACCAGAAGCTCCTATCAAGTTATCAAAATGGTTTAGAACTAATAAATCCACAACTACAGCAATTGCACACTCGTGTACGAATATCTACGCTGCATTAAATGGGAAAGAACGCTTGATAACTCTATACTTTGATTTCAGTAGGGCTTTTGAAACAATCGATCATACACTCTTACTTGATAAATTGAACCGTATTGGAGTTAGAGATGTGGCAAATAATTGGATTGCTTCCTACTTGAAAGATAGGAAACCAATAGTAGTCATGAATCAAAGTAAATCACAACCAAGAGCAATCAAATATATTTATGTATGCTGATGAAACAAATATACTGGTCTCAGAAACTAACACACGGGATGCAGTAGCGAGGACAAATATCACCGCAAATGAATTTCATAAACTAGTAAATATGTATCTAAAACTTTTTTTTATGACATTTATAACGCAAAATATGAACAATGGTTCTGATAAAAATCAATAATAAAAGCATTGAACAAGTGAATTAAATAAAATTTTTTGAAATTATTATGGATCATAAGATGACATGGAAGGAACACATCAATGTTCTTGCGAGAAAATTAGGCACTATTTGCTTTATAATTAGACAGCTACAAAGAACAGTGTCTTTGGAAGTATAAAAATTAGCATATTATGGGCATGTCCAGTCCCTATTAACATATGGTCTGGTGTTTTGGGGCAATTCAGCTCATGTCAATAAAGTATTTATCATACATGTAATCAGTTATTTTCACAGTTACAAATTCTTACACTTTATATAATGCAAATTATTGTAAATATAAAAAAAAACAAGAGGCTTCAATGTTATCAAATAGTTCTATTCACAAATATTTCAACTAGAAAGCGTGAAAATGTGCGTCGACCTTTGGGCAAAACTGTTATATTTATCAAGGTATAACATGTTTTAGTCATTTTAAGGAACTGTTTGGTCCAACTCACGAATTGTCAAATCTAAACTGCTTCAGGAACGCTCTTCAGAAATACTTGGAAGGAAACTTATTTTATTGTTTAGATGAATTTTTTATGTAAGTGTATGTGCATTATTATATAATATTATATTATTACTATCATTAATGTACTGTTATATTAATGTCTGTGATTGAAAAATTGTTCCTTTATTTATGAACAGACGGTATTTCTTTTCAATATACACTCATTTTATGTTTGTATTTTTGTAACTTTTATTGTTTATAGACTTAATATATACTTATTTTGTATTTTTATTGCTGTAGCTTGTAGGTTCTGTTATGACTAGTCCAATAAGTTTATATAATGTGTCTTTTATACATTTGTATTGACTTCTGTGAATAAATTTGATTTGATTTGATTAGGTGTCAGTCCATGAACACACTATGTAGGTAAGTGAAGACTGTCCTGAACGAATTGTTCTTTTATATTATTTGATTTATAGCCAGTCTTCAAGTATGCCTACTTACTTTAGGTTAATGCTAGATTAATTGGGTAATTATTCCAAATTAATTTGATTAACAATTGAGAACTTAGTATATTTCTTGTTTCTTTATCTGCATATTTTTAGGATAATGATTTTTGGGAAAGAAAGGTTTTGGCTTTCTTCTTCTTCATTTTTTTGTGTACAGATGGAGAAGTAGAAAGCCTAAACCTTTCTTTCTCAATAATTAAGTAAATGGGCACTATTAGATAGAAAATTAAGAAGTGCATTTTGTGATAGACAAAATCTCGATAACTTTCAACAACTTTTTTCACCAGTTTTTAAAAGAAATGAACATCCTCTTGATTTTGGAAAACGAATTCACGTACTAAAATTAAATCAACGTCAACTATAGATCAAGCTTCTGAACTAATTAATATTTGTCAGTATGAATCACAATCTTCAAAAGTATTTTTGAGAAATTTCAAACTTCAAAAACGCACTTTATCAAAGAGACCATTGTAAAAACTCCTGATTACAAACCTCTATCAAGCTCAAATATCGATGACACTGACACTCAGAATTCAATAAAAGTAATATTAAGATGGAAAGGTGTTGAAAAATAGTTTGAAAAAACAGAAAAAAAATACATGATTTAAGAGCAACACAACTAGAAAATAAAAAATAATTCGAAACTAATTCAATATTGTATTCAACATCGATAATAAGTCCTATGACTTGATGTAGGAAACTAATACTTTCAATAAGTCTGAAATCATAATAAATCTATTTACAAAAAATTTATTTTCTTGTAAAAAAGCGTGGTATATTTGAAATTATATTTTTATTATGGCTTCAATCTGGCAAACAGCTCCTAACCAAATATTTATAACAATGGATATTTAGCACTCCATGCTTTTTAACAACAATTTTTGTTCATTAGATTTATTCTGAATTCAGCCTTATCAAAAGTCATCAATTACATCAAGCCATAGGACTTTTTAACGATGTTGAACATAATCTTAAATTAGTTTCGAATTATTATTAATTTTTTAGTGTGTGTTTTGCTATTAAAGCGTGTTTTTTAGTTTTTTAAACTATTATTTATTTTCCACTTTTCAGTTTGGCTTGCTATTTCAAGCCGGTTTGTTTCAATATAGAATATATAGGCATGCGCAGACAGTGTGGTTGTCTCACTTGATCTCACACAGAGACTGTGTGAGGAAATTATTTAATCCTGGCGATTCTGATCAAGACAGTGAGGTATATGAAATTATTGTATTGTTACCGATTCTTGATAAGTGTACAAAGTTTAAAATACATTTGTCCGTTTAAAGTTAGTCAAAATCGAGTCCAAAGGAGTCGGTTACAAATAAACAAACATACAAGTGAAGTTAATAAAGGCGTGTTAAAAACAAGAAAACTGAGACAAAAGATTTCCATGGAATAGAAATTAAGACATTTTTTCAACATTTTCTCATGAAATTACAGTAGAATTCACATATAACGACTATCCGTTTACAGCTACGATAATTTTTACTCAAGTTTAGTTTCATATTTAGTTATTGAGAAAATATACCGTTTAGTGCGACTCCGGTTTAAACGACCGTTTTTCATGATAATACATCCGGTTAAAACGTCGCGCAATGTTTTGTTTACACAATCTGCGCACCAATACCTTGGCGCACTCTCTCTTATTAGGTACCTCTATTGATAGGTACTACTAACAGATATTAATAGATTGATTTTACGCCAGAGGTTCCAGTATGAAGTCTTTGTCACTTGTTGTAAATTCATAAAGTTCGACAAAATGAATTCTGTGAAGTGAAAGTGTTTTACAATTGAAGAAAAAAGTGCAATATTACACCGATTGGAAGCTGGTGAATCAAATGCAGCCCTCGAAAAAGAGTTTGGCGTATCCCATTCTACAATATCCAGAATTAAAAAGAATAAAGATAAGATCGAGTCGCTGTTCAATGCCAGTGTTTTGAAATGCAAACGTATAAGGACTTCTACTCATGAGCAGTTGAATAAGACATTGCGAAACAATGTAGAATGTAGCCCAACTTCAAATCCAGATGATTTCAACGAAGAAGATGACGTTCCGCTGAGCATTTGGGCGAGGGCTATTGATATGCATCAGTTATCCATAACAAACGATGACTTTGAACAATACGCGTGTGCCGATGATGCAGATGATGATGCACTTGTGGAAAACATTGTGGAAAATATAATTGCCAACGACGCGAATAGCAATGGTAATGACGGTGATGATGACGCACCAGAGGAGATTTATCCAACCTTGATTGTGTCTGAAGTTCTGAAGGCTGCGGAAACGCTCAATGTGTTTGTTCAGACTAACTTGGAAGATGATGTTATGAAAACAATGATGTCGCGAATTCATAATGCTGTACAAAATTCTTACTACCGAACAAAAGTTTGTCATAAACAAACACGAATAACAGACTTTCTACGTTAGTAACACAGGTTTTTCGTGCATTGCGTGTGTATTTTATCTCTTCGTATTACAGTACATAATGTAAGTACATATGTACTTACATTAGGATATTTAAGAACTATTAAAATAAAGCATATGTGATTCCTACAAAATGTTTTATTCACCTATCGATCAGCAATCCGAAGAGCAAAATGAAAGATTAATGAACTCATGTACACTTTACTACCACAGAATTAATCCGTTTTGTGCGTCGTTCGGTTAGTACGACATATCCGGTCCCTTGAAGGTCGTTATATCCGGATTCTACTGTATGTTTGCTTTTCTTCAATTTTCATTCATGATTAATATTTCTCCTGTGGTGTTTTCTGGAAGTATATAGCTCTACAAGCATAGTAGGAGGTCTCTTGGAATCGACCTTTTTATCCATATCGTTTCTGTCTTTTGCTCTTTCTTTTCAGCTCTTTTCAGTTTTCTGATGCATTTCTCGACTTCTTTCCTTCATCTGTTTCTTGGCCTTCCTTCCATTTCTCTTTTTTCTACCAATTCTACTATATAATATTTATTGAATAGAACTAAATACGTGCTGCTAGGTCGGGATTGAATGGAACCTGTAGTACCAAACGTTTCTTCTGTTACTAACGCAGACATCATCAGTGGTAGGTGAGTTGACTGTAAGGATGTAGATTTTATCTTGAAGTCAGTCGTTGCTGAAACTTTTGGGATATATCCGAAAACAAGCACCTTTTCCAATCACTAGTGCTTCAATACTCTTCTCGATACATTTTTCACCAACCAAGTTGACATACACGTTCAAAAATATTAAGGTAAGCACAGTTCATTTCAAACTTGATAATTCACTCTCGCTCACTTGTTCCCCTACTGACACCTGCACACATATTTTCAAAATTCAAATCAAATGGTGATACGGATCACTTTTAACAATAATCACCAAATGAACTTGAAAATGTGAAATAATTGAAAATTAGTTGCTACTACTAGAAGGAACTTTGAGAATATTTTTACTAACCTTGGCCTTTATAAAAGTTACTCATACATTCTAATTGAAAAAATAGTCAATATGCAGAATACCAAATGAACAAAAACTGATCCTGTGACTTACGGCAGACATTATTGAAAAGTTATTTGCAACTTCCCCAAAAACCCAGAACCATATATCATAAAAATACCTCTTGATAGTACAAGTCCACAGGTAATAAATATGAAAGGCACCATCTTTTCAAGAACCACATAATCGATGATCCAACTTCAGGGCTCATAAACTGTGCCAAATTGACAGATGCTGCAAAATCTTCGATTGTACATAATTTCATAATATCGAAAACAATACGAATTACATGATCACTCTGTTCAAAGTTTTCTGGTTTCGCAACTTTTGACTCGATTGCAGCAATACACTTCAAGGAGGCTTCTAAACCTGCTTTATGGCAAATATGTTGTTCCAGCGAATGATGCATTATTTCGGAAGGAATCATAGGTGTCTCTCCATCACTATCCATACATAACACATGCCCAGCAATGAGTATAATCCAATGAATATCTTCAAAAAGGCCGTCCAGAGCTACTGCTTCGGAAATGGTCATTGCACGAGACTGCATCACTTGTATTTGCTCCACAAGTTTGTCAATTCTTGCTTCTAATAGCCTGAAAAAAATGTTTTCCATTATTTATTTGTTTTATAATAATTATATAATTTCTTCATTCAATCAAGATAATCTAGACTGTAAAATAAATGAGTTAACAGAGCTCCTAGTATTTTTAATTCTAAAATAACAGTGACATACTGAGATTGGTTTTATGTTAATTCAAACGATTATCACACTTTAATGTTAATAAAATAAGTGATTAACAGAAAAACATATTTTAAACAGACACAGATTTTTAAAGAGAAACGAAACTTTCTATGTTTTTATCACTTTTGTTTGTAACTACCATTACTGCAGTTTCGTCCTATACGGACGAGTTTATTGTATAAGTTTGAAAATATCCGTAAAGGACGAAACTACAGTAACGTTAGTTAAAAATAAAAGTGGTAATAAAACATAGAAAGTTTCATTTCTTGTTTCTTCATTATGATTTCCTACCACGTAGTAACGGCTACATCCATCAATATAATAAAATAAGTGTCTTCTGAAAAAAATTACAAAATAAAGAATAACTTTTTTCTACAATTCAAGTCTTTTAACCAAAATAACCAATGGAATCAGTAATATTAACACTTTCATCATTCAATATCAACTTCGATGGGTAAGTATCCTGTTTGCTTGAAGGGGATTTTATTTCCTTAGAGTCAAATTCCTCATAAATAGCATATTCTCTGACTTTTCTACAATTTATATTATGAGAAATTCAGCTATTTCCAAAAAAAGGCAAATAATCATTACTAATTGAATAGAACTGTCCTATACTTGATGAAAATCCATATTGAAAAACTAATTAATACAGTTTCACTATTATAGTGAAAATCATACAATAAACTGTATTAATTAGTTTTTTTAAATAATCATTACTACTATCTGTATCATCAAAGCGTTTTGGAGAGGAAGTCAGTAAACTTATTGGTTGATGATTTCTATGAACACAGAAGATTAGATTGGTAAAAGATATGTAGAACAAGAACATTATTGACAATTTACCATAAACTTGCATTTTTAATCAGATACAGCTCATTGTTGAAGATAGTTTTACACACCGAAATACCACATAAATAATGACATAATTTGAGAAATGCTATTAAGTAATAACGATATACAATCAACACTTTTATATTGCTAACCTGAATAATACAGGTAATGTATGATGAGGAACTACTCTTCCAAACATTCCTATTACTTGCAGTTGATCCCTGTATCGAATTCTATCATTATCTTCGTTGTCCTCTATTTCATCCTGATCACAGGAAGAGACTTGTCTAGTTCCAACAGGTGGTGCTAAATGACACTCAATATACATGCTAATTATTCGTTGTGAACATACCGGGAACTTATCTCCCCGTGAAAGGCTATATTCTTGAATAAGTGGTGGCCAAGCTTCTAACATGTTGTCAAAGGCTTCACTGAAAAATTTGTCTTCTTCGCTGTTCTAAAAGGAATTGTTACTGATTGAAATAATATCTTCATTATTTATTTTGAACTCAATCAACCTCGTCTTGTTATTCTAGATTCTACTGTTTATATTTTATCAGTCACATTGATAAATATTGAAAGTGACTCTTTCGTATTTTTTTCGAATAACTTACCCTTTTAAAAAAATATTGCAGATATGATTGAACATTTTTGTGGAATTAAAAACTGAAATTAACAAAAGATTTACGATTCCAAGAATGAAACTGATCTTTCTGATGATTTTCAGCCTTTGAAAATAGTATATAACAGCTCTGGCTAAAAGGACTAAATGGAAAGATGACACCGTGTCTAATAAAATCGATAATGTTATGATCGTCATTAAAGAAAATGGTTTCTGAAAATCGTGAAATTACTGAAGTTAACTGACAAGAATGGTGAAAATATAAAATCTATCATTTTCAAACAAATAATAAAATTTTTCTGTGATTTGAAAGAAATATATTAAAAAAAAATTTTGGGGTCTGTTCTTGACTTTTACATTAAGATTGTCTGACAATTTTAACAATCTAACATCAGTTCACTACTAAACTATATGTTTTGACATACCTACAATATATGAGCGATACGTAAAATATATAATTTTCTTCTGTCATGTAGAATATGTTATACTTACTTCTTCGAGAGTAGCTTCTTCACAAAAATGACAAGTTAACCTTGTGAATTCATCAAGTAATGTGTCTTGTAAAGAAGGCTGAAGTTTCGTTATATCATGGATAAAAAATATAACCAATTTTTTCACGATATTCGATATTCCAAGAGATTCCTTACTTTTGATTTTTATGCTGAAAAAATTAATTTTATGAAAATTTAGTCCACCATGCCCAAACTACTTAATCAACCAAAACTGTCATGAACAGATTAAAATCCTATATCTAAAAAGCATAAAATAATTTAAAAATTATAAACAAATATGTGGCATTGTTTTGCTATGGTCTTCTTTGGTTACAATCTCCAAACTTTTCAATCGCAACTGCGGCAGTCATTTTCAGTGGCGTGGTAAAAGTACTTCTCTTGACGTATCAACTGACCAAGGATACAGGCAGAAGCTGTAAAAACTGTCCAACATTCCTCCAACAGTTCTAAGTTATCTCTGAGAGTTCCTAAATTCTAACCTCAGTATCCTCAGCATCGTTTATCATTCCTTGTTTTTGCTTATCTTTAGTAAACACACAACAATTTGAAAATATCGACAGTCTGGTCCTTTAAAAAAGACAAAATTCAATAATGTTCAGGTAACGTTACTTACACTATCACAAGAACAATCCTTTCAGTTGATACGTCAAGAAGAGTACTTCAATCACGCCACTGAAGATGACTGCCGCAGTTGAAACGTTTGGAGATTGTAACCAAAGAAGACCATGGCAAAACCCAGAAACCAACCAAAACATTGACGTCAGCCGTGAAAACCTACATTCCTATAATATGTGGCATGTTTAATACAAAAATATAATACTCACAACACGGATATTGCGTAAAATTTACTTTACTGCGTATCGGATACCACTTTATTCGATTTACATAGTTTGAAGTTTGTAGGGCTATTATTTATACCAAAAGTTAATTTAGAAAGTTTTGAAACTGAATAACCTGCACTGATTGTTCAGCATACAGTTCGGCTGCTCCATACCAAATCACAGTATGTGATCAAAAAGAGATATCTATATAAACTTGAGTAGTCGGCAATTTATAAGATTTTGGGACCCATTGATGACATATTAATAGATTGAAGAAATATCGAAAGTGCTACAATCTTTATAAAAAAGGTGGCATGTCAAGTATCCAAATTGCAATCTCTAATAAAATGGAAGGAAAATTCTACGAAGTTACCAAAGATTGGTGACTTAGTCTTATTGAAAGATTATAATTTACACCCATTGAAATGGAATCTAGGAAGAATACGCAATTGTAACCTGGAGTCGATCAGTTTTATTGTTGCTGTACGAATGTACAATGGAAATGAACTCAAACAAGTCTATATTCTTCCTACAGAAACATGATTGGACAATTTTCGTTTTCATATGTTTTTCATTGTATTTACTATTGAACTGTTCTTCTTCAATAGATTGAAAGTTATGATGAAATATAGTCACTAAATATTCAAAATATTGGGCTAGGAGTACTTTCATTAAAAATAATTTTTATGGATTAATATTAGTACTTACTTTAACAACAGTTTCAAAAATGACATCAAGTATGAATTCAAGTATTCCTTTCTGGATTCGTCAGAAGCTATAACTCCACCACTGAGAGTTGCAAATTGTACTAAACAAGCCATTGAGTGATGTGCCAAATGATCAGAATCTCTAACTTTCCAATAAATTTGGAACATCAAGGGTAACAGCTCAGGATTGAGAATTATCTCAGACCAAGATTCCGTTAGTTTCAAGGAAGGTGCTGCATCTGATTCAAATACAGACTCATAAATACCAATGAGCCTTTTCGGAAGTGTTACGAGTTAAGAAATTATAAAAAAAAAATCATCAATTCCCAATAAACACATTTGTTGACACTTGTAATTTTAAAATGATGATCATTATGTTCCTGACTCCATATGGTACAACACTGATGTTATATGCTGTCTAAATCAAGTCTCTTGGTACAAAATTAGTGATGCAGAGTTTCCAGGCAGCTTTTTCAAGGAATGACATCCGGAATATACTACAGAGAATATCAGCAGCAGCAGCAGTAATGAATTTGATTTGGTGAAATCAAAATCAGTGAGAGAAAAACGTGAATGCAGTGAATCGAATAAATTTAGATATGATAAAAGTGAAATAGGTATGGTTGGACCTCAAGTGTATAAAGAAGAACAGCTCTGGATGAAGTCACCCTTTTGAACTCTTTTCAGTTAATTTGAACAAACAAAATTATGAAAATTATTCTGAAAAAATGGTCACATTCTTGAAAGTTCACTTGAGAACAAAAGGATTTCTAATTAAAAAGTTGGAGTGAGTTGAAAAATTTTGTTCAAGAAACAAAGAGGAAATAGATGAGTTTTATACAATAGTGAAGTACTACTACTCAATTCGGCTCACAATTTGCTTGATGGAAGGCAGTTACTAGATGAGAAGTCCCCTACAGAAATAGAATTCAAATTTAGAGAACCTGCTCCACCTCATATTCTGCAACAAATTCTAATTTCTTCTACATCAAAAAAATTAAACATCATGAAAGATGTAGACATTATAGTAGAGAACAATGAAGAAAAGAAAAACACCATGACAATGGAATGTGGCACCAATAAATAAGTACTACTTTCATTGATTCAAATTTGGAAAAAATAATAACTTGAGCTTCTAATTTAATTTCATTTCCATATTTGTTTTTTATCTCATGTACAAAGACAAGAGCAATATAATGCCAATGACACACATATAAGTGTCATCATGAAACTATACCAATGGCTTTTGATTCAACAGGGTATCATGGAAAGTCATACCTTCTATGAATTTTGCTGGATATCCAAATAATTTCAATAGCAATAATTATTGTAAAAATACCCTAAATGGTAATGAAAATATCACTGTTATTTTCAGATCATATTCATATTTTTCAATGACATATTACAACCTCCATCAATGCATGCAAATGTCAACGAATGTGTTCTAAAAAATAATTCACATTTTTAAAAGGATATGAATTGGTGAAACGTATCCCCATGTCAAAACTTTTTCGGTAATCTTCAACAGATGTCCCACAAGGTCGATGAACTCTGGTGAATATGGGGGGTCATTCTTGACAACCTCTGACAGAAGATACACACAAAACTGAAATATTCTCTTCAAGTCTGTGGCTTCAAATTGCTTCTTAGCTTTGAAATGTACTTCCCATGGTAGTCCAACGTCTGTTGATTTTATGGTGGTTGCATATTCTTGCATTAAATTTGATATAATATTGCATCCCAAAATTTTCTGAAACGTGGTTATACATAAAATGTTAGGAAAATTAATTCAAGTTGGTAACGGACATCAAGTTGAACTATAATGTATATATTTATTCAATTTATTAATCTTTTTTCTGTAGTTTCAATAATTTTTGACTTACTACATTTACATATTTAGGCGTTCCTAGGCCAATAAACATCATTATTATTAATATATCTCCATATTTGTGAAATATTGCTTCGTATTAAAATGCATTGAACATCACTACATAGTATAAAACAAAGTTGCTTTCCGCTGTCTGTCCCTATGTATGCTTAGATCTTTAAAACTATGCAACATATTTTGATGCGGGTTTTTTAATAGATAGAGTGATTCAAGAGGAAGGTCTGTTTGTATATAACATGCTTAATATAATAATAATAATAATATTTATTCATCCTTAAAGACGTTGACAAACGTATGGGATAGGTCAGTATCAAGCACATAAAAATCACATCAAACGATAAAATTGTAGATCCGTAGATAAAAATAATACAATAAAATTTGATACAATAAAAGTCAGAATTACAAAAATTAAAACAATTGTAGTTATAAAAATTGAATATGTCATGCCAAAGCCGTATGAACCCATTCAGTCGAGATGGTCCGAGAGAAATTCACCAATACTATAGTAGGCCTTAGAAAGAAGCAATTTTGTAACTGCTTTTTTGAATGCTACTGTGTTCATCTGTTTGAAATGGTCTGGTAACCGATTGAATAATTTTATTCCCATATATTTGGGAGAATGTTCCAATTTTATAGTTTTATGTTTAGGAATGCTCAACTCCTCTGCATATCGAGTTGCGTAGCTATGATAGAATGAGTTATTAGTACAGTATAACAATACAATGTATAACAATACATTCGCGAACATATAAAAGTATTTTGAAGGTGTAGATGCGGGAAAAGGTTAAAATTTGATGACAAATGAAAAATGTCTTGAGTGATTCCCTCCAAGTGATGCCTAATAATTTCCTAATAACTTTTCTTTGAGCAATGACAACCCTATCTTTATACATCTAAATTGGCGAGTAAAGGCATACAATTCTTAATTTTTGAAATTTCCTTGATTGGTTTTTTTACCGTCAGTACCGGGCAGGCGGTCCTCGATTTCCGATGGAATTTCAGGTTACCTTCCCAAATTTCTGCTACCGCAGATGTCGGTTGATTGGTCAAACCACCAACACTGACATAAAAACTTGGCAAGTTGACTTGGGTGTCACACCAATAGTTACTATTTCCAGATGCTATTGATGGATACAAAAAGTACGACTAGTTGTTGGTTAGGAAAAATATAAGGGAGAAACTGAAAAATTCCAAAACTTATTTTTTGCAGTATCTTCTTTGTTTGTAAAGTTATAGAGTTGAAGAAAAAATTTTGAGCTTCATTTTCTTACTCTCGTTTCGTTACGAATGTTAAATATTTTAAATATTACATACTATTACAAGCAGTGGACCTCTGATTGCTGTTCTTCAGAAGAAAAATAAACCTCAAGACCATGATAAAATATGAATGTGTTTAATAAATATGAGCTGTCTTTAATAAACATGAACTTTGTTACAATTTACCCGCCTTGCAATGATATATTGCATATAGATATGAATGATACATTTTATTGCATAAAACAGCTCTCCGTCCATTGCTGGCTTAATATAATAAATTATATCTAATTGGGATACTATAATATATATTACATTATAGCTCAACGTCCGCCCATGGCTTTATTTTTACCTTGTTCGGTTCCGCATTAACTATAAGATTTTCAACTTCTTGTAAAATACTTGATCTCTCTCTTCCACTGTCGTCTATACTTGCTCTCTTTACCATAATAGCAATAACTTGTAATATCCTCTCTCTTACGAAAGAGGGCAATTCTTTAGTTGTTACATATTGCAATAAATACTGTCTGAGGGATGACTTATCAGAATCCAACAGGAAGGCCCATTCTCTTATTATGGCACCTCTAAGTACTTCAGCAGCTTCAAACATAACATATTGATTTTCAGATTTTTCTAAAATTTCCCTACATATTCCATAAGGTGATTTACTTCTCCTGAAATCTAAAAAAATTGTTTCTGCAGAGTGTCTTTGTTCATTTGAAACCACATTTGGTGGAGCCTAAAAAATAGAAATAAAATGTATTTTACATTTCGTCATACAACTATAAAACAACCATAAGAACCCGAGCCGCATTTTCTAATTCCACAACAATTTGCTCAGTCATTTTTTTAATAAAATATGAAACACTTGGAGCAGTATGACTTCGAGTTGCTTTTAAATAAAAATTACTCCATAAATAAATATAGGTTAATGCATCTATGGGTTAATGGAGGTTAGTAGCACCTAGGGACCAGTGTTGCCACAAGTCATTTTTTCATCGAGGTAGATTTCTGGATTGGAGAGGGGTAGAACCGAGGTAGATCCACATTCACACGATGACACCAATCACAGTGACGCATTGACATGTACCTATGATTGTCGTTCTTTGTTCTATGATGAATTTGACGATCGTAATCAAAAACATGTCAAATGTCATTGCATTCAAATTTGGGATCGATGTGTTTTCAAACCATTCCTCGAAAATATTAGCTTCCGTGTTCTTATGATAGTCAACATTGCAGTCCTCAATTTTTTTCCATATCCTTTACTTCCTCTGCAATGCACAATGATAAGTCGCGATCTGATTAGTTTCGGTCAAATCTGATGTTGCTTGTAATAGTTTGTTTCCCTCGAAACCAAACTTGAGATGTAGATTCTAATATACATTGAATCATAATCTTTCAATATTCAAATGCATTGTTCACTATCACTATTGGAATCACTACTCTGAAAAAAGTCTGCGTTGTTATCACACTCGTTATTACTATTAGTACTTGTCCAAAGACGTCACATTTTAAAGATAACAAAAATTGTAGGTGAATATAACTGCACTAATTTCGAATTTCAACACTCAAATCGCGATTAGTTCCTGAACTGAACACGACGGCGATAACCAAAGGCCGCATTCCATGATATCTATTCTTCACCGTAACATGACTTCAAATTTAATTTTATGACTCTCCAACCAATCACAAAACTCGGTTAGTAAAAATTATCCAATACGAAATGCCAAGTGTACAGTCCACACATAGAAATGCTGCCGGTTCATTTCTATGTGTTGGTTTTAATGACCTTTGAGGGTGCCGACAACTTTAATAGTGTACAATATCGGTACTTCGACTATACATACATTTACATCACAGATTGAGATTGCACATAATATAAACATTTCCACATTCACGTTCTCAACTTCAACTAATAATGTCGAATATCATGTCATAAACATCAAATAACATTTCACACGCATAGAGCATGATCACGGCGCTCGGTATCATTGGAAGAGCACAAGAGCATTGTAGTGTAACTCATTACTCAGTCACAGAATATCGGAACCATCGGCACAACATTTTTTGTTTAGAATGAAACAGGCTATCGGAAATACATTTTTAAATGGTAAACAAATAATAAGACAAAAAGTTACATTGGAAATAAATTTTAGCGGTTGCTTTTTCCACCCCTCACAACCATGGGGTAAATTACTGGCCTAGTGTCTTTTTGGTAGTACAAAACGTCAAGTTAATTTTAATATTGTAACTTTTTCAGTGCTTGTGAAAAAAATTATTATACAAATTTTATGTACCACCTTTAAGGGGCTGTATCTTAACAAGGGATGCTCCAATGAAGTTTCTTTATATGAAAGATCCTATCTTTTTTTCGATGAGGAATCACCTCTTCAAATGTTTTACACTTATTCAGTTACACCCTGTATAGTTCGAAACCTCGTTTCTGCCACTACCAGTAATTATTGTATTGAAAGATTACTTTATAGAGATACTATATCAATTGATCACTCTTATACTGCCCCTCCTGAATCTCATAAATTGTTATGCTTCAGATGTTTACAAAATTGAACATTTTGTGGAAAAACAAATTCATCTATCAATAGAAACTAAGGACATGTTTAATTCGAAAATAAACTTCAAACAGAAAATTATAAACACAGTAATAAATCATTTTGCTGTGAATATAAATATTTTCAAACCTAGACATTCTATAATTCAGGAATTTGTAGGTGAAGAATCTCATGATATCCAGATCATTCGGAAAGTTACTGCCATATATTTAAAGAGCCGAATGTATCACCACATTAAATTGTTAAATTTACAATTGCATAGAAAAAGTGGCACAGTTAGATAAAAAATGACAAAACTTATTTTGTTTAGTAGCTGTTAGATAGTTAGATATAAGTCGAAATAGCTATGTTTTGTAATATTAAATAAAACATTTCTAATTTTGTTTTAATTTTATTTACCAACCCCGTGGAAAAACAGTTGAATTTTTATTTGAATGTTGTACTATTTCTATTATTACTTTCTTCCTGAGCAACTGTTCAGAACCAATATACTTTTTCGACAAAATTAACGTGAAATATTTAAATATATTCAAAATGTTGCGCTTCAGTTCCATTAACCACCATAAGATAGAAAGAGATAGATATCCGTAACATATGCGAGTTGCCTGCACAATCGATTTGCCTCACTTTTCGTCCAAGGCGGGTACGTAACCTGGAACGGACTCGTATAGTATACGTATAGTACAGTACGTACACGAATAGCATACCGAAAGGTATACTATACGTAGTATACCTTTCACTGAGTAAATTCCGCTACTGTAGCGGAATTCGCTACGGGTGGCATCGCTAACGAATAAGTTTTGAATGCATGAGGATCAGAAAATGCTTCATATAGGAGGGTTGCGGAATAGAGTCTATTTTTGACGAGGGGTTACCTGAAAAAAGGGGGTAAGGTGTGGTCGCAAACCAGTTGACATTGGTGACAGTAATTTTGTCGTCATTTGGCCACATTTGAATGCTAAAAAAGTATATTATCATTTTGCATTATAGGTACTTGTGTTATTACGGACAGAAGGGCAACATATTTTTATTATTCGTCTAGTGGAAATTACATTGAATCTCGAAATTTCGACTTTGGTCTCGTAGTTTCAAAACTACGACTTTAAACTCGAAATTTCGACTTTAATTAATGTCAAAATTACACCACTGTACGCCACTGCTCAGTTGAAATGTATTTGGAACTCTTTCATTTTTTGTTTCTTACGCTACTTTTTTGTACATTTTTTAGTTCTTCTCTGATAAGAGGTCTATTACAATTGATAAATGGTTAAAATGCTGTTTCTATTTCTCATTTTTATGTTAAAAGTGATATCTATATTATTATAGTCTATCCATTCCCAATTGGAACGGCAATAAAAATAAGGGTACAGTCATAAACATTTCTTGCCTGTGGCCCCTAGTCGCCCAGATAGTTAGTAAACGTGCTATTAACTGTAGTTGAGGAGTAAAGGCTCGGTTAGCTGGACTGGGTGAATACTAATTTTTTGTCCGTTTCACAATATTTCTTTATCAGTGCCGTGTGTTCGTGGGGTTAGGTGAGGTAGTGAGTGGTTTTGCAAACCGATTTTTGAAAACTTTTTGCAGAGATCAATTCCTTCAACACCAAACTGATATTTTTGCACTCGACGCGCGTTTCGCTAACAAGGTTAGCATCTTCAGGAGAAGCCAATTGATACTGAATCTAAAGACAAGGGTAAGCTAAACATATACTAAATATATACCTAAATATATACCTAAAGTTTTTTGGTTCGATGTGGACTTTGTTTAATGATGATTATCCAAATTGATTTTTAGGTAATTAACTAGTGGAACCACTACCTGCAAATTAATTTGTCCGCTTTTTAATCTATTGTGAAAAATCAATTAGGATAATCATCATTTAACAAACAAAGTCCACATCGGACAAAAAAACTTTAAGTATATAAACAGCTAACCCTTGTCTTTAGATTCAATATCAATTTGCTTCTCCTGAAGATGCTAACCTTGTTAGCGAAACGCGCGTCGAGTGCAAAAATATCAGTTTGGTGTTAGGGTAATTAATCTTTAGAAAAAGTTTTCAACTTTTACACCAAAGGTTTCAATCTCAACGTTTAAACCGATTTTGGTGAAAATCTTAGTGTTTTTGGGTACTGGAGACCTTTTGAAATAAATGATAACATTACGTGTGAGGAATCTGTGTCAATCGTCAGGGATCCGGAATTTGCAAATAAGTACTTACATGTTCAAGTTAAGCGAGTGATTTTAAATATTCATGAATGCTTGAAGAAGGAAAACTGTCACACTTCACAGATTGCTATTGTGAATAGAATATGCGAGTTAACGAAACTATGTCGTTCGATAGTTCTTCGAGTCATTAAAATAGGGGATGTCATTGACCATGCAATGAAACGAAAACAAAGGAATAAAAAATTCGCAAACGTTGATGGTGTTACAAAAGATGTAATTCGGCGAACAATTTATGGTATATACCAAAAAAATGAAGTACCAACCTTGGAAATGATTTGGTATGAATTACTCGACTATCCCGATTACAATTACAAATCTTTAGAAACTCTACGAGGTGTCTTATTGACTTGTGGTTTCAAATATAAAAAAAAATAACAATCGGATGGTCATAATGGAATCGACACGCATTGTTCAACTCCGACAAAAATATTTGAGGCGAATGAAAAGCTACCGAAAATCCGGCAGACATATAATCTACCTCGACGAAACTTGGTTTGACACCCATGATGTTGTCAAATATGGCTGGGTAGACGAAACTAAGTATTGTGCTTTGAACACAACTTCTTCAAGGGAAAAACGTGTTATAATTTTGCATGCCGGGAATGAAAGTGGTTTCGTACCTAACTCTTTGCTTCTGTCGGCCAAAAATATAAGAGATTCGTCTGCTGATTACCACGAAGATATGACTGTGGCTTTATTCGAAACCTGGTTCAGTGAACAGCTTCTCCCAAATATTCCTCCAAACTCGGTTATTGTTATGCAAAACACTTCGTATCATTCTCGGTTATTGAGTACAATACCAAATAACACAAAAAAAGCAGATATTGTTGATTTCATGCGAAATCATAACATGGAAATACCCGAAAAGATTTCAACGAAAAAGGTATTACTGGTAACCATAAAACAACGTAATTTCAAAAAAGAGTATATTATTGATTCGATGTGTGAAACACGTGGTCATATTCTCTTACGTTTGCCTCCATACTATTGTGTGTTCAATTCAATTGAAATGGTTTGAGCCACAGTGAAAGAAAGCTTGCGGAAATGTAATCAGTCACCGACTTTGAATGCTGTAGTGCTTGACAATATAAGGCGAGTGGTAATAGTGATGTGTGGAAGAACTGTGTGGCCCACGTTATAAAAGAAGAGAAAACATATTATGTGCAAAGTTCCATAAATCCG